TATGGTTAATATTTCAGTGATGCCAAAGTTGAAATTTCTTAAAAGATGAAATAATTCTTATAATGTGATGACAACCTGAGGAATGAAACTTCTAAAAATGGTATCTGACTCCCTTGTTTCCAAACATCAGCCTATCTCTGGTTCAACTCTAGGCTTAAATGTGAAATATAAAAGATATTAAGAATTCCATGATACTTTGTAATCCTAAGTACCTCAAGGCCTGGTTCTTGTCATTCCTTATAGGGCTTGGGGGAGGCTAGATCACTTCTGGTATTGATACAGTTATTTGGTTCATTTCATGTTCACTTCACCCACGCAGCTTTGAGGGTCACACAACTGAATTAGACACAAGGTCAGTATCTTCCAAACTTTTTGTTATCATGAAGTCCATTTCTGCTCTTTAGCAATTAATGTATATTTTATATAGCTATTTTTTAAAAAAATGAATGAAAATTAATTTTACTTTAATAATTTTGTTGTACCTTAAGACATTTTTTCTTACACTAGTAGTGTGCTCTTGAGGGGTTCCTTCTTTCTCTTTGTGTCTGACTCCATCTCACTATCCCATTTCCTTCTTTAATTTCCCTCTTTTTACTTTTTAGCTCCTCTTCCAGAGCCACATTTCTATTTTCCTCATGAAACATTTTTAAATGTTACTGTAAACTTGTACAGCTAGCTACCTTTACAAGTTCCACTTCTTATTAATCTTTAAAAAAATGAGAAATTTTTTTTAGCCAGAGTGTTTTGCTCTCATGGTTCTAGTACATCTTGTGAGTAATTTCTGGATGGTTTTGAGTTCATGTTCACTTGTTTCTTTTCATAGTATACCTTCTTTCCTCTCCTTCTAAGATGATGTTTTGAGCCCAAATTCAAGAGATATTGTAGTGCTTAAGTCTTCAAAAATATTTTTAAAAATTGGATATACAACTTCCAGATTCATGGTAGGAAATGATATGGGTAAGCACACTGACTACTACATAAGTTATAGTTGACAGCAAGGGAGGACTCACAAAAACTCTGAGAAGCAGACAACTCAAAAATTGCCCTAGCCAGGGAGTTTACTGTAAAAGTAAATAGCTTCACATATTCAGCTAAGTCCTGAGGGCATCACTTTGTGAGCATAGCATAGAAACTGATGTTCAGATGATAACCCTGCAATCATAAAGAATAGATTAAATTATGTTCACTGTGCTTTAAGAATATAAAGAAATGTATGGTACATTTTTAAAAGAAGAGAAATTGGTTCTTGAAGTGATAACTTGACTCTCTAGAATGATACATTTTAGTAAGATTTTAGATATCCAGGAATTTTACTATATTATCTTTCACTTATAGCAAGGAAAAGATAGAATTTAAAAGAAACGGTTTAGGGTGATTAAAAAAATATCAGTTTGATAGTTAAAAAATCTTCCTTTATTCACTAAGCTAGAGGATAAGTGCCTGATGGCCAGGCAGTTTCACACTTTTCCCCCAGTGTCACTTTGGGATCCTTCCATTAAAGTTTGGGGGACATTCAAAGATACTGGGCCCTGCCTTTTACCATCATGCTTTCCCTTCTGTCCTTGAGAGGTAGAGTGGTTTAGTGGAAAGAATTTGTAGTCATAAGACTTGGATTTAACTACTTCTATGACTTTGGGCAAGTTATTTTATTTTTCTGGGCCTCAATTTCTGCAGTTGTAAAATGTGAGGAGGTTAGACTGTGACCTCAAAGCTCTTTGTCAACTTTAAAGTTATGATTTTAGGACAATGAATGAAGTAGAAGGGATTATTTATTTTATTACATTTTTGGGGATGTTTGTGCGTTACTGTGTATAGATGACATATCATTTACATATATGTATATTTTATATATTAATGTTCACCCAGAAAATTCTGGCATCTACAGGAATTCTCCTTTCCTTTGGCTGCTACAATTTGAATTTTCTTTTTTGGAATTTCCCTCTCTTTCTTCCTCTGCTGCGTTCTATGCAATATTTTTACCCCAGCCCTAATTCTTGGTTTAGCCAAAAATCAGGTCTGCAGTGATAAGAATCAAGGTAGTAAAGATTAAATCAAAGACTGAATACCCAAGGCAAGTACTTCTTTACCCTCTGTTATGCCCACAGATTCTCTTATATCCCATTACTAGTCAAATCTTGCAGCAACTATAGGAATACAGATTGTGAGTTGCAAAGAATTTAAGAAGACATCAGCTCCCGCCAATGCATGTCCTACTTTTTAAATCCTCTCCCCCCATGTTGTGATAGCCAGAATTTATTTGTATTTTCTTTGAAATGTAGATAAACTGTTGTGTCCTTGGATAGGGAGATCTGTCATTAGCATCTGTATGTAGTTTTCTCTGCTGAGAAAAAAAGAAGAGGTGGGCATAGGAAGGAACTTTTTTTTTTATTATTCCTTGTTTTGTTTTGTTGTCAAGAACATTACCTTGGGAGTTCTTTAAAGGAAAAAAAGACTTATTTGTGAAATGAGAACATAGGGAAGCTGTGGAACTATATGCTTTTCCATAGTGTACCAGGAAGGGAAATAAGCCTTGATTAGAAGCAACAAGTAGTGGCAGTGGAAAGGGAAGCAAAAGGGCCAATTCCTCATACTCTCAGAAGAAATTAAAATTGTTTATTAGAACAATTGTACCTGTATTATTAGAACAACTGTACCTGGCACCACAGTGTGTCCTGAAATGTTTATACAAGCCAGATTCCTATTTCTGTGCCTGACTCCCTATCAACTGCTGCTGCCTTGTTGGAGGTAAAGGCTCTAGGCCATGTTAGCAACTACCAGTGACTTGCAGTTAAAGGTTTCCCTAATCATATTGCAATAGGAAGATATGTATTGTTGGTGCCCCAAATTGGAATGTTGAATTGTTTTCCCATAGAGACATTGTTAGCCATCACATTTAAGGTCTATAATAGTGGTGTCAAACTTAAATAAAAACAGATCCCTTTGAGCTGCATATTGACTTGGAAAACTACAAATTAACGTTGTCTGTGTGGTGTTATATTTATAGTTATCTTGTTAAATATTTCCCAGTTCCATTTTAACCTGGTTTCTGCTCTTGGGAGTTTTGCAGGCACTTGCACCCTGTGAGTTTGATACCTCTGTTCTTGAACAGGAAATCAATCTTGATTACTTCGATTTAATTTTAGTTTGATTATAGGATTCAACTCCCTTCTTTAGGAAAAGCTAGCCCCAACAGCTAAGCCAAACTACCATAGATAGTCTCTTAAGTTTAGGTTAACTATGGATTTAGTGAATAGATAGATTGATAAGACTTTATCAATGAGTAGCAGATAATTTAGAAGAATAAAATAATCATAAAGTTATAAGGTTTTCCAAAGGCTAAATTTCCCTTTTTAGCAGAAAGAGGGGTTGACCAGAGGCTAAGTTCCCTTTTCTGGCATTTGGAGAAAGGTTAGCCAGGGGTTAAGTTCCCCTTTCCGGTGTTAGTGGATAATGCCCCTTTTTGCTTGTGCTAGAGTTGAACTCTTCTAAGAAAGGTGTGTGTGTGTGTGGGGGGGGGTGACTGCTAACTTCTGATCACAAGTTCCTCTTTCCCAATACACTTTCTGGTTATAAAAGGCACCACCACCTGCAAGGCAAGGACTTCTGGATAGGCTTAAGAAAACCTGGGAGAAGCTAACAGTCAGGTGATCTTCCCTGTCCAATTCAATTATGTTCAAAAGAAGTTTCTGCCCTTTTTTAAAAAATTCCCCTTTGCTGTTATAAAATCAGGTTTTTAAAATCACTCCTTGTCTCTGACCTCTGAGGAGTCAGGTGACCTGATTTGGTATACAAATGCTAGCTTGGCAAATTAAATCACAGATGGCTTGGTAACTTTGTCCTCAGTTTCTTTTTTATTTCAGATAATTAATTTTAACAGTATGCAGTACTATATTTCATATCTTTCTGTGTGTCTCAATAATGAGTTAAATGAGCTTTTGTGGGATGGAAAAGGGAGCTAACAACCATGCCTACACAAATATACAAACACAGTGTTTCTATGGGAAAATACATTTGGAATTCCAAATAACTAATTTAAATTTTATTTTTGATATGTAACTGATTTATATATATAAAGTTGAGTAACTACCCCTAGGTAATTTTGGAATCATCAATCTTGCTGTCTGTTAAATTTTTTTCATTAATCATGTTTTGAAATTATACTTGGGAGCATTTATTCAGGAATATTTCAAGGAATAAATCAGAAGGGGCAACTAGGTACTGCAGTGAATAGAGCAGCTGCCCTGGGGTTAGAAGGACTTGGATTCAGATTTGACCTCAGATACTTAGTAGTTGTGGGCAAATCACTTAACCCCAGTTGCCCTCCCCTTTCCCCCCCTTTGCCCCCAAAAATAATAAATCAGAAGACCTTGGTCCAAGCTGTAGTTCTGACACTTTGATCTAAGTCAAATTTTCTCAGCTGTAAATTGGGATGAGATTTATATGTACCATCTACTTTGCAGGACTGTTATAAAATAAATACGAATATTTAATATTTTAATTAATAAAATATTTATGAATATTAATATCCTCTATAATAGCAAACTTTTATTATTTTTGTGCTTATAGCAGGCATTAGGGCTTGCAAAAATGTGTATTCTTATACAGTCTCTACTGTGAGTCTCTACTCAGGAAACTCACAGTCTTAATGGGAAAACAACACTATTCATTAAAAAAATATTGTAATTAGTTATAGGTTAACTACAATTAACTGAGGGCTAGAATGAGCCAGGGATGCTTCAAGGAAGGATAGGTAGGATTTAGGCTGAGAGAAGAGCAAAGAGCTAGGACATCAAAGCATGAAAGAAGGAATGAGTCATATGGGTAAACTGGGCTGCCTGGTTGTACATTGGGGATTGTGGAAGATAGTTTTACAAAGGTCGATTGAGGAGAGATTGTATGAGTTCTTGAATGACAGGCCAATAAAAGTCTTTTTAAGCAAAACAAATTTAAATCTCTTAAAAGTAATACATAAATGTCATCATTTTTCAATTCTCTTGCAGGTTCCCGTCTTCGTCAGGAGGATTTTCCTCCTCGTATTGTTGAACATCCTTCCGATCTCATTGTTTCTAAAGGCGAACCAGCTACTTTGAATTGTAAAGCAGAAGGCAGACCCACACCAACTATTGAATGGTATAAAGGAGGAGAAAGAGTGGAAACAGACAAAGATGACTCTCGTTCACACCGAATGTTACTTCCAAGTGGATCTTTATTTTTCTTACGTATAGTACATGGACGCAAAAGTAGGCCTGATGAAGGGGTCTATATCTGTGTAGCACGGAATTATCTTGGAGAAGCTGTGAGCCATAATGCATCGCTGGAGGTAGCAAGTAAGTAATTTCTGGTTTTGGAGATAAAGCAGTTGTTCTGATAATGGTAATGGAAAATGAAATTAAATAATACTGTATGCCTGAGGAAAATTTCTAGCTTTATATAAAAATGAATGAAATAAGCCATTTGCATTTTTTTATATATACATCTTGTCATGGCTGTGTGTGCCCACATGCATGTGTGTGTATCTATTTACACTTAGTTTTTGAGCTCTCCTTCTTTTGATTTGGAGGTGTAGAAAAGAGGATGTTGGAGTTCTTTGTCATTGCATCTTAATGGGGGAAATTTTTTTCCCTTTACAGTTGGTTTTAGTTTTATTTAATATAATTCTTTATGATGTAGTAACTGAAAAAGACTATATGCATGTTCATTTAGAGAACTACATTGTTAGCTAGTTATATAAGATATATATGTATATAAAGATTCAGTATTTCAACTCTTGGTTACCCTTGGAAATATATTATACTTTTTGCAAAGCTATATTTATACAGCATTGTATATGTGTATACTTTGCTATTTCATTGAAAATAATTGGTTTTGAATGCACTTTGAGAGATCTGAGATACAAAGGGATTGTTAGATTTATAGCTCATGTAGTTTATGTGAAATTACTTTAGAAAACATTTATTGTATGTTAAACTATGTTTGCAGGACTTTTTAATATAGTAGTTGATGGATTTGTATGAGAATTGGATTCATCTTTGATTCTATAAGTATTCAAATTCTACTTAACAAGTTTCAGTGTGTTTTAAAGATGCAGATGTTGATAAAGTAAAAGGGATAAGAACTGGCAGAGAGAGAGGTATGAAAGTCATTCTTAATTTGTGTACATTGTTAAATAAAATGTCAATTAATTTATGCTATATGGACATACTATCTTTAATAATGTTTTCAGATTTCATATGATGTATCTAACATTGAATCCATTTAGAACTTTAGCATTGTAATTCAGTATGCAAAACACTTAATTGCACTTTCTATGCAAGACAGTGGAAATACAAAGATAAAAAAAAAGACAGAATCCTTGAGCTCTTACAGCTTACTTGCTCTTTGGGTGGTGATATATGGGCCTCCATAATTTTGATAGTTATTAAGTGTGACACCTAAACATTGAAAATCTTTTGTTTTGCTTTTTATCAGGAGCTGCCTTTGGCATTTTCCAAGAATTTGTACATTGTTGTGGTGATTACACTCAGTCAGCTTCTGAATGTGTGTGTATGATCTCTGTCTTAAGTAGCCTTGATTAGAATTAAATGAAATAAGAATTGGATAAATATGTCAGACATTAATGATACTAGGAAACTTTTGAAGATCAGATCTCTGTGAGCCTTTGTGGATTAAGCATAGATGAAGCCCTTGACAGAGCTTTGAGTGTTTTATAGCGGAAGTAAGATTAAATTTCTTCCATTAAAATTTTTTTATTGATTTTTTTTACATTACTCTAATTTCCCAGTGTAATTCTCTCTCTCTCCCAGAGAGTCATTCTTTATAATAAAGAATAAAAAAAGAGGGTGATAGAAGTTCAACAGGACCAACCAACATATCAATAAAAAATATGGCATTATATGGCAGTGCTCTATTACTCCCCAATTCAGCAAAGAAGTAGAGGAAGATGTCTTTTCAAATCTCTTTTTTGGATCAAGCTTGGTCACTGTAATTTGTCAGCATTCAGTTTTGATTAGTTGTTATTTCCATTTGCGTTGTTGTGGCCATTGCCCATATTGTTTTCCTTGTTCTACTTACTTCACTTTGTACCACTTCATATAAGTCTTCTGATGCTTCTTTACAATAGTTATATTTATCATTTTTTACAACACAGTAGTATTTAAGTACATGACTGGATTTGTTTATCCAGTTCTCAGTAGATTTGTTTCCTATTCTTTTCTACTACAGAAGGGCTACTCTAATTATTTTGATTTATGTGGTGCCTTTCTTTTTGTCATTGACTTCTTTGGGGACAAGCAGTGTGGACATTTGCATAATTCTAGAATGTTTTCCAGAATGATTTGACCTGTTCACAGTTTCACCAGCAGTGTATCAGAGTGCCTATCTTTTGACAATCCTTCAACTGTTGCCTGTTTCCATCTTTTTTCCCCATCTTTTTTCCATGCCTTGACTCTAAAGAAGGGATGTATGAGTTCCCTAGAGAAAAAAGGGTGTTGGAAGGGTATAGACACAGAAGTGAGATGGCATAGAAATCAAGAAGGAGAGTAAATTTTGGAAAGGGCAGGAGGTAAAATTAGACCACATGATTTGGGAGTCAGAATCATTTCTCATATGCCGTGCTGCTTCTTTGCAAGATTACTTCTCTCATAGATTGATACTGAGATAGAACAGAAAAAGGGGATAACCTGGCAAGAGCAATAAAGGCAATAGCATAGAAATTTGAGGAGCTTAAATCTGGTGCTTCAGAACCTTTAAATCTTTTGTGCTAAACAAAGTTAAAGAATAAAGGTATATAGAACAAGAAGAAGGAATAAAATTTCAAAATAAACTGGAAAGGAAAAGAATATGTGAAGAGAACAAAGCAAACCAATATGTCTTAAAATTAATAAACATGCAAACTTGAGGATAGGAAAAGAGGGAAGGTTTTGAAATAACCACTTAATTGAGAAAAAATAGAAGAAGAGGAATGAAAAATAGATAACTAAATAAACAAAAGAAAAATCAAGAATTAAGTAAAACTACTAAATTAGAGTTGACAGATAGGATCAAGGATCAGGGTTGGGGGAGATAAGAGCCTGAGACCAGAGCTCTATCATAGTTTAAACAAATCTAACTCTTTTTTTCCCTTTAAATCTTTTTTTTTAAATTGAAGTTATGCTTTTTTTTTAATTGAAATATGGTTTGAAAGGTAGGAGACTTGAGCACCTAATAAACTGTTATAGCTTTCAGAATTCATTTATATTTTAAACCTAAATATTCTCTTTGTGGCCATGGGCTCTGCTTTAAAGCTTCTCTTGAGTGAGCCTTAGGGTAAGACTTGCCTACTAAGTTATAGATTGGTTATGTTCTACTTTGTGTAGAGTGTAATTTGGATCCTATCCTGGAGGATTTAGACAGACTACATTGTGAGCTAGTATTTCATATCACAAATCCCAGGGATGGCTAGACAGTTATAATTTAGTCTCAGTAGACAAAGTGATTTGACAGAATGTCATAAAAAGATGAGGGTATGGCCAAAGGGTAAAAGGAGATGACATCTTGAAACCATTGCTATCTGAAATTTTAGTTTGCCTAGTATACAAAGTTTGTAAATCAGAAAGGATATCTTGAATTTCTCTCTGTCTCACTCTGTCTTTCCCTTTCTGTGTGTCTGCTTATCTTTCTCTCTTCATATTACTTTTTTTCTCAATTATTTCTCATTGCCAGAATCTTAAATAAATCAGTATTAAAGTGAGAATAGCAGCATTGAGGCCTTGTAGATTTTTTTTTCCTTTCAAAACATCTCTGATTTTAGCTTCGGTGATCAAAGACCCTATCTTAAAGCCCTTTAGTGAACAGAAATTTTAAAAGCTGTGTTGTGTAATTTGGCCTTTAAGAGGCAATTATTGTCCAGTAAATTTTTTTAAACCTATACATTTTTTTTTATCAGAAGCTAAAAATCTTGCCAGTATACTTCACCTGACATGTGTATGTAGATCAGCTAGCACATAGTATTAAATAGGATTATATGACAGTATTTTTCTCATAGCTTTTAAAATTATGGATCCCTTTCATCAGAAAATATCCAAATTTAGGAATGTTAATAGAGACATTCATTTAGATGTTTTCCAGCATGGTGTTGTAATATAATAGTAAAAGGGTTTGACTTAGAATGAGGAGGTCCTAAGCTCAAATCCTGTTGCACATTTATTGGCGTTGTGACTCTGGGCAAGTCAGTTAACCCCCTTTCATTTCTTCATCTAAGAAATGAAGATTAGAAATAGCATTTAGCTTGCAAGGTTTTTGGGAGGATCAAATGAAATGACATCTATAAATTGCTTTGCAAAGCATAAAGTATTACATAAATGCTAGCCTATTATTTCTGTTTCCAAAATATTATCAGTTTCCAGAGGATCAAAGTTTATTGTTTACTGCACATAAATGAGCATATAATAATAAAATAAATATAAAAATAAACAAAGTAGTCTTCATTTCCAAAGTGTTTTTAAGGTAATGTTTATTTAGTCATTAGTATAATCTTTAAGAATGGTGGTTTATGTGGATAAGTAAGAATGGTATTGTTGAGTAGGTGAGGTAAGAAAATCTAATTGAAGAGACCTAGAAAGTGGTCTGTTTATTTGAAAAAATAACTTGACTAGGATACACTACAAATATTTTTTGAACTAGTGTAATTATTGTTTAGGAGTTACTTTTCACCCTTACAAACCAGATTCTTGGGCACTGGCACAATTTTCTTAATATTTGTTTCTTTGTTCCAGATTCAGTGCCACTGTATTTCTGTTTTTCATCATTTTAGCTCATTGACTAAAAAAGCACATGTAGGTTACTGTTTTGGGTAATGAGGTAATAAGTGACTAAAACAAAATTTTAGGTAGAAGGCGCAGTCGTCATGAATCGTACTGTTCTGGTCTGCCTATCAAATGGTAGCACCAAGGCTTTGTAAGTTAGAAAAATACTTGAACCAAAGAGAATAATGATATGTACATACAAATTAAGCTCAGAAAGCTTAACTATTAAATTAACTTAATTAAATTAACTATTAACTATTAAATCCATAGCTAAAGTATTTTTTCTCAGTATATTAGTTAGACTTTTTTTTTAAATGTTTCATTGGCATAGGTATGAGGAAGTTCAAAATATACTTTCTTTTTTTTTTCTGTCCAAGGGCTCAAATAGAGGAAGACTAAGGCAATTTTAGTGAATACCCTAAAGAAATGACATTAACAAGTGTCTTTAGGTAATGTAAGTTTCAAACATAGTTGTTGGTAAAGCTTTTAAAAAACATTTATTAGTGTTTTATTTGCTTATGCAGCCATATTTTACAGATGTATCA